CAGGAATGTGTTTAACACCACATGGAAACAGGAACAGGATTTACAAAGACAAGAGCAGGGAGAGGGCAATAAAGGAAAAAATGCTGCAGAAAATGGAAGTGCATTGCCCAAAGGCAGACTATAAAGCAGTGAGGTTGGGTACTTCAGTTCACTCCACAAGACCTATTCCTAGCAAACAATTACAAAGCATCTATGAAATAAAATTGAAGTCCTCCCTCTTCATGAAAGGGAATTAAACAAGCATAGACGCAGTTCCCTTCCCTATGATCCACAATTAATTTTCATCATTCAGGCTGTAATTTAATTGCTTCTACTAATAGCCTTAAACCTAAAAGAGCACTATTCCTCTTGAAAATAACTGTAAATAGTGGCAAAGCCGGGAGCAACTGTTCTTGTTTGATTACCAGCATGGTTAAATCACCCAGACAACCTGAACTCACCCTCCTAGCAATGCCCTTAAAACAACCAGAAAGGCAGATTCCCTGCAAGGTCCGCACTCATGTGCTCCCACTCCCCCTCCAACAGCCAAGGGACATAAGACTGAATGTGCCAAGGACAAAAAAGTTGCAGTGAAGATGCTAAACCCGTGCCTGATGGTCCTTGCAGGCTGCCAGTCCTAAAAGACTGCCCTAACCTGACGGTACAAAGAGCATTTTGGAAGCAATTTTTTCATCTAGATTAAACCACTCCATCTTTCTGGTTTTTTTTTTTTTTTTTTTCTTTTTTTTTTTCAGCGGCTCTATAACAAGTTATTTGCCTTTATATTAAATACTGATTATCTCCATAAATTGAATAATCCAGTTTTCAGAAGGAAAATATCCTTTATGAAGGTGCAATCAACAAGAAAATCAGCTTATCCCTCTCCCTCCTCCCTAGCGCTCCTTCCCCTTTCTTCAAACCCACCAACAAACAAAGGTCTCTGTTGGATCCCCAGTTTCCTCTAGCAGCAAACTGCTTGTGGGCCAGGTGACCTCAGCATCTGACCAGTTTGTGTGAGTGAGCAGCTCCTGACACGGTTGTCACACAGGCACAACTGAGGGTTACCAAAAGGTTCAGGCTTTCTTGTTTCTTTTGTTGAACTTTAAATAACGTGGCTAACAAGTCCTGACCTGTGCAACTCCACTAAATTCCTGAATTATTTGCAATGTTCCCCGGACAATCCAGGCTCTCTCTTTATCCAATCCTTTTAATGCCTTATAAAGGGAATACAAACACTTTTTCCAAATAACAAAACTCCAAAGAATAAATTATTCTTCTATCTTTCCATCAACCCATATGTCTCTAAATCCTCACTAAAATGAACAAGGTCCAAAAACACCAGATGGTGCAATAATTTTCTCCAGTGACGTGTAACTCAAAAGTAACTTTTTTCCAATAAAAATAGTCCAGCAGCTCTGAAAACTGACAGAATCTCATAAGCATGAGGTCCTAACTAGTGATGGATGATAGCACCCTCATCTTTCACAACATCAATACTAAAAAGAACATCCTGACACTGTCAAGGCAAGGAGTTGCAGGGACAGCAGGTAAGAAAAGAAGGTCTCATGCTCTTTCCAAACCCTCATAAATTCCCTTTCTCATCCATTTGGATCTTTTGGAGGTGGGGGAAGAAACAGAGTGCTGGGACAGTGCTTGGTCACCCCATGGTGGAAGATGAAGAACCTTGTCCTCCTCACCTGTGCTGAGATCTGAAGCCCTCCTGCCCCAGTCCAACCCCTTCTCTCTCCCTCTCCTTCCCCTGCAAGCACAGGTCTCCCTCAGCCACATGCAACCCTTAGCTGTGCTTGGCCTCTTGGCTTTGGGAACAAAAAACACAGTGACGGGGACACCATGAGGAAGCAACATGAGCCAGTGCTTCTCAGAGTCAGGTGAAAAGAGAATATGGCCATAAGAAGGATCAAAACTATACTTTCAGGAAGGAGAGAGAAAGGATACAGGAGCCAAAAAAAATCATACAAACTACTTAGAGGATACCAAAACAGATGTCAGGCCCAGCCCAAGCCTGGCCCTTAGAGAGAGACAAAGAGAATGGCTGACCTCCCTTGGGCTGAAGGAGAAGCTGTCCGGAAAGCTTTCAGGAGCTGATCACTCAACAAGGGTGGCCAGCGAGCACTGCCCAGGCAGGACTGCACCGAGAGCTCCTTGCTGTGTGTGAGCATCGTGACAAGGCCCCAGGAATCTGGATCAGTTTTTGTTTTATTCAGAAACAAGGGTAAAGATTACAGCTTCATTTAAGAGCAATGACTGGGGCACAAGGGGACATGTCACCTCTTCAGTGCAACAGCGCCCATGAGGCAACCACTAATGCAGCACCTTCAAGATATGCTTGTCTAACATCCACAGAGACTTTGTATAGTGACCGGAGCACACATCCCTGCTTTTCTGCTGTATTCAAATTTTGTTAATGTGTAGTATTTAAATCTGAAAAGTGAATAAAGTGTGAAAAAGACATAGACACAAAAAACCAAACAAGTCCTATAAAAGTCTCACGAGGACAGCATACTCTTTTCCATGTAACTGTTGCAGTACACCTGAAAATTAACAATTAGCACAATAAAAAATTAAAGAATTTTGCTATTTAGATAGCAGCTGCCCTGGCAGAGCTTAATCTGGTACCAACTGAGCTGATCTCCCACCCTCCAGACCCACAACACACCCAGCATAAACTCCTCCATGTTTCAAGCAAGCAGGTACCCGGTTGGCTTTGCCCAAGCATCTCTCAGTACCGCTGGTATCCTGCTGATGCTTCTGGGTTGGGCTTCAACTGGTTTTGATGAAAAGCTTAGCCAAGTCTGTGAAACTACAGCTGATTTCTTCAGGCTTTGAATCAAGGTCTTCATTGCTAAGATCCAACAGCTGTTCCAGCAGTTGAGTAATGTGAACAAATATTTACTACACACCAAAATGAAACAAGTAAAGGCTTTTTTTTTCCTCTCTCCTGTCTAGCCAATATTTGAATGAGACTTGGTATTTGTTTTTACATCTCTTGAAAGAGCTGTTTACAACAGACAGACAAAAAACATCCTTCTCCTGAGGAAGGCAGTAGCAGATTTCAAGCTATCTGTCATTAAGAATTAGAAAGATTTAAGACAGGAAAAAAGCCCTCACCCAAAGAAATGGGCTAAGTGCTGTGTTTTCACTTCCCAAAAGCTTGCATGAATCTCTCTTTCAGTTTGGCTCATATGGAAACTGCCTGTCCTCCAATTTTTAGCAATTTAAAGTACTAAAAGGAAAACAGCCAAAAGTACCAAATTTTCAATTAAAAACATGTGAAGCCATCAAGTTTAACGCTGTTTCCAACCTCAGCTATAAATCAGCTGGGTCTGCAAAAAAAATTATACTCTTCAGCAAAACCTAACTACAGTTTTCTGTTTGCAATGAAACCTGAAACCAGAAAAATTTCACCTGATTTTGTTACAAAATTTTTCAATAGCATATCCTAATGTAAGGTTTCATGTATATTTTCATCCCACTTCCTCTACAACAAAAAAAAAACCACAAAACCTGTTCAATGATATTCTCCCCAAAGAACGATCATAGTCATAAATAAAGCATAAACACTGACAGAACCATAATAAAAATTATGTTTACTCTGTACATCAGAATGCCTACAGTAACACATTCTTCTGTTTTATAACCATCTCCTTTTTGTCTGCATAATTAAAATATCTCACTTGGTTGGAATCATGGCAGCAACACTTCTCTGCTACAATTCTTGCTTTTTTTAAACAGACAGCTCTTTAATCTTGCAAAGGCAGAGTCTATTTATAAATAAAGAACTGCATTCACAGTGAGTCAAGGCACAAAAAGCTTCTGGACAGACTGAGTTACAATAACCATTATTATCCTTTTTAAACCTCTGGGCACAAACCAGATCTCTGACTACCCCTCTCATACTTGAACAATTTTTCATCTTAACCACAAAATAAAGCACAAGGGTTGAGAACCTGGGATGAAATGGTGAGGTACTCTGCTCTGAACTGTGCACCAAACCACTGTTAAAAGCTTTCCAACTCAAAATAAAATCTTACCACCTTCTGAGCAGCTTCCAAGGATGTTCCAGGTTGACGGCAATTCTTCATGAGCGACGGCCATCATCAAATCATTATCCAGGGACTGCAGATCTTTTATCCCTAGCCCAAACTTATCCAGCAACATCTTGTGACTAGCAGCAGTGACACACTCTGCATGATCGACCAGAAAGTGAGACAACTTGCAAGACAGATTCTCTCTGTAAGTGACAGGACAGCTGCCGAGGACCACAGGTGAGTATCCCTTTGTATACATCAACACAGAGACAGAAACCACTTCTTGGCATCCATGGCCTGCAATTACAATGTAAAATAATCAGTATCATTATCTACTGTCATAAAATACATTAGTTTTTCCTCATTCCTCCCCTGCCTCTAAGAGCCATGACTACTCATCCAGAATTATTTTATTCTTCCCTCTGATTACATCTGTTTGTCGTAGGGCATCCACCAACCATTTCTGGGGATGAACTAGACTGTGAACTGCCAGTCCTCCCAATTATACTGACATAATTAATTCTAGAACCAGCCTCTCTAGATTAAGGTTCTTCAACCACAATGGAAAGAAGAGGCAACCACATCAGGATGAAATCCCACAAATCAAAGGCATGAAGGTTCTTGGATAAAAATTAAGAAAAATTAGATGCTCATGACAAGAGTGCCAACACGAACTCTGAGTAATATACCTATTTATTAACACCCATTTTGTACCTACCCAGTGTTTCCATGTAGACCGAAACCCAGAAACCTTTACCTAATGTATGCTTCATGCTTTTGGCAGACTTGATTAAATGCTGTATCAGTTCTCTAACTTACAGCTGGGACCCTCGAAGTCTAAGGCAATTTGTCTCTCAAACCTCTTAAGACCTCATGCATTCCTCCTCCTCCTTTGCCATCTAAGTGAGGGTGGATGTCATACATCTAAAAGAGGTGCAAGCTGTACCTCTTACTGGAGAGCTAACCATGACATACTATGGGTGCAAATCTAAATTTTCCAAAATATCCGTGAATAACTAAAGTATCTATGCAATCTAGTAACTGCAGAAGGAAGCATGTACTTACCACATCTGCAGTTGTTTTTAAAAAGTGCTCTGCGTTCCCTTATGTTTAATTTGGCCACTACGAAACAACACTAACATCAGCAGGGCCATATTTTAACCTCACACTTTATTTTCATCTGTTCGTGGCTTCTGTTGGAAACCAGCAGAGGATTAAGTGTTGCCTGTAGCCTCCTGTTTTTATTCCTAGCCCAGAAGCAATCATTTAACAGTGTCATTTCAGGCCTCTTAAAAAAAAAAAAAAAAAAAAAAAAAAAAAAAAGAGTGCAGTGCTCCCCTTGGAATAAGCATTGCATTTTCTCCAGTTGTATTCCATGAAAACCATTTACCATTTACAGGATCAAAGGAGCCACCACATAACGGCAGCAAACTTTCCCTTTTTATACACAGCAGTTATTTTCAGAATCTAAATCACCTTCAGAAAACAAGAACAAATAATACACAGATCCTATTGCACAGGTACATCATGTCTATAGCCACCCACTCACACAAAAAGGGAAAAGGTCACAAAGCACACAATAAAAGTGACAACCAGAGTTTATGTTACACCCACCAGGGGGACAAAGCCAAGGCAGAGAGCCATATGGGAGGCAAGACAAATCCCCTCCATTTGCAGCGAGGCACCCCTGGAACAGTTCCCCCAACACCTCTGCACTGCATAGAGGTCCAGCAGAGCTTTAAGCATCACACAACCTCCACCATTAGGGCCTTGAAAGCCAGGCTGATTGCTGCATCCAAGGAAAGCTCATACAAAAACATGACTTGTGGAGGTGTTAGGATGCCCAGAGGTGAACAGTTGTGGCATAGAATTAATTCACATTAAAAATCGTGCCATCCCTGAAGACTGCACTTTAATGCACATCCAACTACACAAGCCCAGTAACGCTGCCTGTGCCTGATACTATGCTGGTGTGGATTGCTATGAAAGGCAGGATCACCTATGGTCAGTCAAACTCAGCCTGAATCCTCAAGGCCATCATTCCATTCCCGCATTTCCTCCATTACAGAACCATAAAACAGAGTTATATCAAATCCTCCAGTAGTACCCAGCTTTGAAATTGGGGTGGGGTATAGCAAAGAGATGAAAAACATAAACAGGACTTCAGGCTCACCTGGAACAATGGACTGAAGAGTGTTGTCACTAATTCGCTCAGCAAACATTACGTGTCTCTTCAGGGACCCATCGTAAACAAAGTAAAACTCAGCGTCCTCTGGGAGGTAAATGCCTTTGTCAAATTTTGCACTTATAGCCACCTGTCCCTGAAAAATGAAAGCACTTTCAGAAACATCCAGTCAATTTCCCATCTCCAACAAACCCATTGATATACACTTCATATACAAGTTTATTATAACATTTTCAGCTCTACTAAACAGAGGCTGTGATCCAGTGACAAATCTGCAGTTCACTATTTCCACTTAGAAAGTAACACCAGTTTTATGCCTGAGCAAGTAAAGGTGATTTTAAAAAATGCCTTTTAAATAATGTCTTTCAACTAATCCTTTTATAACACAAATATAACTGACTTTTTATTTAAAATGCATCAGAATAAGCGAGTCAGTGAACCCAAGTATTTTGCTATATACAAAAGAATGCTTTGTGTTAAAAAAATTAAAAAATTCAAAAGCACTTGAAATGATCCTAGACTTGGTTTGCAAAACAAAAGCACTGATGTAATTCTACAACTGACTCTGCTCGTTTCAAAGAATACTAGTTCCCAGATATCTGCCCATGGGTTTCTTTATAGTAAATAGAAAGCAACCAGCCAAGAAAAATCTGTCATACAATAGCTTCAGAAAAGAACAGGAAAGGGATCTGAGAAGCAGCAAACAATAACAAATATCTGACATGTCTGAGGGAGGAAATTTAGATGAAGTTGCATTTCCTCAAAGAGGAGGACAGCGTGCACCACCACGGTCCCTGGCTGCCACAGTTGTTCCAAATAAGACAGAACTGCCCCAACATCTGGCAGAATGGTGTTTTCTGGAGAACACGCTGCAGAAGAGTATCTCAGCCATTCACACTTCCAAACCATGCCTGCCCTGCCTCTATTCAAAACAGTTACTGCAGCACTGACTCCGCCGGCTCCAAAAACAAGTCTGGTAAAAAGCTGCACCAAAGCACAATACAGTAGCACAGAAATTTCCTTGGCTGAAAACCGCAGTTATGCCCCTGACTGTCCTGACAAGCATCCGGCTCCTTCCCCTGTTCGTTATATGGCAAACACACACTTTACTGCAGTGAGACTCTTGCCACCTCCCACAACGTGACATCTTCTCCTGCCTTCCCCAAGGACATCTTTCTCGTCACTTGTAACAATGCAAATCCTGCATTTGTTTTCCTCTTAAATAGAAGCAGGTTTATTCAACTAGGGGTGAATAGGCAAAGGCTAGTTTCAGGCACAAAATCTTCCTTAGATAGGATTGTTCCTGTAAGGACAGATGTAAACAACATTAGGAGTTCAGTATTGAGATCAAACATGCCTGTCATCCCCAGAAATTCATAATGCACCTCCTTCTAGTAGCCTGAAGTAGTATTATAACTGCCAGTGTTTTCTCCTATTTCTCTTTGGGTTTTGCATTGTTATACCCAGAAAAAAATATTATTAATAATAATAATCATCATCATCTTTTTTTTAAAAAAAACTTTTTATGTTACTTGTGAATAGCCCTTTTTGTCTGTTGAAAAATACTATGGATGGCTATTTTGGGGAGATAGAAACGGTGTAAGTCCCTGAAGACACTCCACAGACTGCTCCAGTGGGGGCTTTGCTGACAGCAGCCTGGTGCACAGGAGCACAGCAGAATTTCTTCCACATGGGCACAGCAGCCATAACTCCCAAATCGCCTCTATACCCTCTGGATCCCTAGGGCTGAGGGACTACATAGCTTTCACATTTTCTTTGCACTAACTATATGAAACAAGGGAGATATTTTGTGGCAATATCTCTGACTTCATAAGCCTACTCTTGGGGGAAAAAAATCAAGCTCACATTGTAGCCATTAGCTTATATGGGTTTTTAAAAAAAAAAAAAACGTTAATCTAGACTCAGTAAAGTGAGTAGAACATCTTAAACTGATCACACTGCATAATGTACAGACACGTGGGAGAATTTCACAACCCCTTGTCTTATAACGGGTGAGGAAAAAAAGCAAGAGTGGAAAAGACAGAGTGGAAAGCTCATGTGTATATGATAAAAACAGGTTTTTCATAACCTACTCCCTACAGCCCTCCAGAAGAAGAAATTGCTGGTAATTCAAACAAAGATTTTACAGAAGGAAGGCAAATTGGCAGCTACCTTGTATCTGGCCAAACAAGTAAGTGATTCATTTGGAAAATCCTACATGATCCAAAAGGAGGACTAAACCCTGTATTACTAGAGAGGAATCAAAGATAACAGAGAAAGCAACTTTCACAAAGGAATACTAAGCTGCACCGTTTTTGATGCTGGATGATTATCACACCTGGCATCAGAAACAGCTATTTCATGAAGGACAAGCTCCCATCATCATCTCCAGCACTTCCCATTTGCCATCGCATCCATTCCGTCTTCAGATATTCTCGTCTCACATTGCTCAATTCCATCACCTTCTTCCTTACTGCCACTACTAAAACATGCATCAGTTTGCGGTTCCGGCTACCACAAATGCCTCTTGCTCTACCTTCAAAGTATCTTTTTTCTTCTCACCTACTCCTCTCCAAAATACCCTTGGTGCAGTTATGTCAACTCCCCTTCTCACCACCTGAAAATCTTTTACAATTGCACCCTTCTACTGCTGGAGTTCACGCCTAAACTTCCATCCCTTCCTGTGCCTCCACTGCGTTGCACAGCACTTGTCCCCTCCGGCCATGCCCCGTGCCAGCCACATGGCTGCCTGCCCTCTCACAGGACAACTCCTCTTCCACCACACATCAGCCCTTCTGCCCCCCTCCTCCTCCCCTCTGAGCTACAGCCCTCACCCCGGCTTCAGATCTACACATGGCAGATCCTGTCTTAGTCTGTGTTTAGGAAGGCATACTTACTGTACTTTGGACATGCTTTAATAACAAACTCCATGGAAGCTTTGATCTTTATACAGCGAGATGTTTATAAAGCTTCCCTTTGGAAAAGACATGAAAAAAGTAAAATCATTTGTACTAACGGGAACGCTGTGGCTGTTCAAAATGTATCTAATACTACATTTAAATCTGAATATTTAAGCATCTTGTCCTTCAGCACAGTCTTCCTTTAGTGCAGAATTACACATATCTAATGCCAGGTTTGAATGTAAAGCAATACTTCCAATAAAAGTGTTAGGGATCTATAATTTGCTAAAGAAACAGAGTTCATAGGAGAAAGTGAAACCTGAAAGAAGAACCTTACACAATGTTTGATCAATTCCTTTCCTACATTTACAGAATATTTTTTTTAGATTTTAATAGAGTTAATATAGCTATCAGACAATACGTTGCATATGTAGCATACATATAGTCTACATCCTTTTATATATATGCACTAAAAAAAAAAGATGCTGTAACGCAGCTAGACAGTATCACAAACAAATGTGACTCTGATGGAGATGGCCGCACCCACAACCCATTTGCACTGCTGGCACAAATGTGTTTACTTGGCAGACCAGTCTCTCCCACTCTTACGACCACTTGCACTTCCCTCCAAACATTGCTGGCAGAGGTCATTCATTACACACATGAGAACAACAAAACCACTGAACTCTGAGGATGCTTTTACTGCTGCCACGAGAGGTGTCCCCGTGTATGCACACACCAAGAGTGCTCTCCCATTCCTTCCTTTCCTTCTCACAGCTGTGAAGGGAGCTGCAGTGAAACAGAACTGTAACTGGCACACTGTTCGTTTCCCTGTGTGAAGCCAACTTTGTTAGCGGAACTATTTGACTCTTTTTATTTTTCTTCAACCAAAAATGACCTGCAGTCCATCCTAGAAAACTCCTACGTGGAAAAATACCTGGAAAAAGTGATGCGTGTCATGAGCCTTCTCCAGACTCTGCAGCTGGAAAATGGCAGAAGGATTCATCCAGCTCCCAAGCCAAACCAAAATGCAGCCTTTCAGGGTGGAGAAAGAGGAAGAGGAGATGAGGGAAAAGTCTGCCAGCTTATTTAATTCTTTGCACTCTGTTTTTGGATGTATGACCTTGCCTTTAGCTGCACTTAAATGCAGATCACTCAAGGGCGTTGTCTTTACCATGCAATCAGCTCTGCACACAGGCAATCCACCATTTTACTGAGAGCTGCCAATCTTACTAGCAACAACTGTACATTTCTTCCGCAACTTTTGACAACCTTGACATTGAAGAGCTCTGGGCCAAAAATTTCTCTCAAGGATGATACACCCCAGCATTTGTCACGTGAATGTCTGCAGAAGAGACTGATGCAGAGAACCTTGAACTTAGGGTGTTTCAAGCCATATAAGAACAACCTGGAAAGACTAATATAAAAAGAGCTGAAAAATATGTACATTGTAAATAAAACAAAATTTCAGTGCCACAACTACCTTGGTCAAAGACTGGAAGAGGCTTCCTGGAGAGGTGGTCGATGCCCCAAGCCTGTCAGTGCTTCAGAGGCATTTGGACAACACCCTTAACAACATGCCTTAACTTCTGGTCAGCCCTGAAGGGTTCAGGCAGTTTGACTAGATGATCATTGTAGGTCTCTTGCAACTGAAATAGTCTAGTCTAGTCTGGTCTACTTTGGATTATTATTTTTTTTAGCAGTTGTTAAAGCTCAGTGTTAGAAAAGTGCAACGGAGCTTCAGAAACATGTACAAACTTGATCTCTATCAGCTTCTTTGTACATACAAAGCAGAAACCCAGAAGCTGTACATTAGTCCTTTAAGAAAAGGGCTTATTTTATTAGCTTAAATCCGGGGGATAATTTATATCTTTCCATTATACCTGTTCCCTGCAGAGGCATTTATTTCCTGGCTCCCTCGGGCAAGACCAGCCCAGCCCAGGGAGCAGGTTGCAGCAGGAACTACCTGCACAGGTCTTTTGTGTGCAGACAAATGAATGCGGAGAGTGACAGAAGTGGGAGCAATTCCAGCTCCATCCTCCTCCCCCTTTTCTAGCAAGGCACACAGGAAGGGGGGAAGTGGGATGGATCTTGCAATGAGACTCAGTAACTTACTCTGCTTCACAAGGCTTTCCCAGAGCTTTTGGGGATGCTACCTCTTTTCTAACGGAGCTTCTTCTTGGCGGAGCCCGAGTGCTCAATCCAGGCTCTCAATCAAAACATATATCCACCACTT